AAAAAAAAATGAATTTTAGAAAATAAAGGCCAATCGGGGGCTTAGTGTTACCTATGGTGTATGACTTCCATATTACCAGCATATGACTTTCATTGTCATCGATATAATATGGATAGCCATTGTGTTTTCTGTTCTTTTTCTCCCTGCTTATGGAATTACAAGCTTAAAACTGTACAATTTGTATGCAGTACTCAGTTTCTTAATTACAAATGATGCAGTGTCAGTGTATTCGGTGTATCAGCAGAATCAATGCAATGCTCTTACGACACAAGAGGCAATAGTGTCCCAACTATACTTTTACTAATGCAAGAAAGATTATATGTGCAAAGTGGTCTAAAGGTATGAAGAAATTCTGTAGTATTTTGTGTTTTCTGTTCAATGATATTGGAAATAATGTTGAGGAGGCCTGCGATTGGACTTTTTGCAACAATTTTTTATAGGCAGAAGGGATTTTTCGGATAAATCCAGAGAATAGCCAAGAGGAGCATGTTAGGGACCAACTCAACAGAGGAATTGTGCCTGACAACATTGATGTCCATATTTTAGCTGGTCTGATCAAAGCTTGGTTCCGAGAACTCCCGTCTGGTGTGCTTGATGGGCTTTCCCCAGAAGAAGTGTTACAATGCAATACAGAAGAGGAATCTGTTGAGCTCGTAAAACAACTGAAACCGACTGAGAGTGCATTGCTTAACTGGGCAATTGATCTAATGGCTGATGTAGTCGAACAAGAGGAATTCAATAAAATGAATGCTAGAAATATTGCTATGGTTTTTGCCCCGAATATGACTCAGGTATTTCAACAAACCTTCTAAAATACTTCTTTCTGAATCTTTATGGCTTTATGGTGAGGTGGACTCTAGAGTCTAATGGACAATACTAAAGAAGAAGGTATAATCTTATTCGTTGTAATGTCTAAGACAGTCCAGTATTACATACCAGACAGGCTGCACCTTAGTTCATTATCTAATTGCAGTCTTCTATATTTGTTGTTTGATCAAGATGTCAGATCCATTGACGGCTCTTATGCAGGCTGGTCAAGTAATGAACTTATTGAAGACATTGATCATTAAAACGTTGCGAGAACGTGAAGAGGCAGAAGCGGGAAGATACTCACCGACGTCATCACGTTCCTCGAATATTGGGCGAACGGACGAGGAATATGAGAGCCAACAAGAGATGGATACTAGCTGTGAATCAACAGGGCCGGCATCTGATGATGACGATGAGCAACCCCGTTACAGCACAAGTAGCGAAGACAGAGACGAAGTTAGATCACCGAGCGAAATAGAAGAATGCTTCCTAAGGCAATTGGACGAGAATGAAAATGCAAAAAATGGTTTTCGGAAACAATTAGAGGGAATTTTGAGTAGAGAGAAAGTGAGTCCTGGAGGTGGTTCTACATTCAACGATGATTCTCATGTTCCATTATCCGACAGCAAGACAGCTAGTTCCTGTGTGAGCATGGACGATGGAGAAGACTCGAGAGCAATGAACGTACGGTTAACATCTGCAGCCATTAAAGACGTGGATACGTTAGACAACAATGTGGTAGAATCTCCGCTTCCCCCTGCGCAATTGTGCGTTCCTAATTAACTGCTTTCAGTTTCTTATTGGCACACTTGATAAAGTCAACTAGACAATATTTGACACTATTAAGGAACCAAACACACCTCAAATGTGCCGGAGGTGTATCGGAGTTCCTGAATTTCTCTCGTAGGTGCTTGTTTTTGTAAATTATTGTGGTGACTGTTAGGCATTTAGGAAAAAAAAAAACCATAGAGATTGGTTTGCTTGTGGTGATTATAATTTGTAAGACACGGTTCAGTTTAGGGCTGAATTTTGTGCTTGTTTCTTTGCTTTACCAGCAAAGGATTTCTCATTTTGATTAATTTAGTGTGGCAAGAGGAAGAAAAAAGTTCACGATGAAGAAAATAGCTGACTGTTTTTACCCTTATTAATTTAAGAAAATAAATTAACCTCCAAAATAATAAGAAAATAAAAACAAAATATAATATCTCATCAACCAAATAAAGATTTCAAGATGCCAAACAATCGTCCCAAAAGTGTTTGTCCCTATCTCTCTGATTTATTAGCTTAACATCACAATTTTTGAATTTCTTGGATTTCTCAGGTACCGCCGCTGAGAGATCGGCCCGGGTGGTAGGCGGTGCCACCTCATCGCCACCACATTCTTGATCAACAACGCCGGTAGTACTACAGCTGTCATCCTCCTCCATTTCCTCTCCTTGACTATGATCATCATCACCAATTTTCAGTTTCTTTCCTTGCTGGTGCACTCTCGTGGAGCCCATGGAGGCAGTAGACGGCGCCACCTTATCGCTACCCCATTCTTCTTGATTAATATACTCATTAGCGCATGCACTGCACGACCGAGCATCGTCCTCAGCTACATCCATGGCGGCCTCCGGCACGTCACGATCAACTTCCGAATCGCCGGTCGCCTCGAAAAGTATGAAAGAAGATACATCAACAACTGCTCTCCCATTCATTTTTATTAAGAAAAGAACAAGGTTTATTTGAAGAATTCTAATCCCACAAAAAATTCAGTTGTACAAAATATACTCTCACGCACACACACAGAGATATATATAGAGAGAGGGTGACTAGATGTTTTAAAAAATAGTTGAGCACCTGTTCTCTTTGACCGTTATTTGGAATCTCTTGATAAAACGTTTTAAATGAAAAATATTAAATATTAAAATTAAAGTTCATAATTAATTTTAGAAAAATGCTACGTGTACACCTCATGGTGTACACACGGCTTTACACTTCCCTCACATAGAGGAGGTCCATGAATATTTTGTTGTGTGAGGCCCCCCCTTCATGTGAGGGAGTGTAAAGCCGTGTGTACACCATTATGTACACGTAGCATCTCCCTTAATTTTAATTATATATTTTATTTGACTCACAAATTTTATTAACTTTTCAATTGTACCCCTATTTGGTACAGATTAAAATTCAAGTTTAGCAATAAAAAATAAAATCAAAATATAGGCTAACTACTTTTCATGTGCCTTATTCCTCGTGATCATTCGCCAAGTGAAGTAATTCTCCGACTCTCTAATCACTTTCGAACTTGTCAATCGAAAGGAAATTTGTAAATTTGAGGTCGGTGCCTAAATGTAGGAAGTCCTTAGATTCATTATAATTTTTTTGAAGTATTCAAAAGCATCCCTATCATCTTTTCTCTCGTCGTCGAGTAGAAAAACTTATATTTACTTCGTGATCAACCTACTCGTCAAATCTAAGAAACCATTTTCCACATGCTGCTCAGATGCACCTAAGACCTATTTGCTTGATCGGCCGATTGGAACATATGAGTTCTCACGTAAGATAATAGAAATATGTTAATCTTTGACCATTCTTTTGTCACTAATTATTCAAGACATGTGCATCCTTCTAGAAGAACTGCAAACGTGATCATATTTAATTTTCGGACGTCTTTCTTCTGGAAGAAAATTGGGACACGTCGTAATGTAACATAATTCGAATAGATTATAATTAGAATTTATTTTTATTTTCTTGATTTAATACTTTACGCAAATGGGATGTCCAATTTCAGCCATAAGATTGCATGATTATCCCTACCACATAACTAATTTATTGCAAAATATTTATTTCACTTTTGTGTTATTGGTTTTGTACCTAATACCTTAGGCACGTATATGTTAACACTCGATTTTTAAAGCTTTCTGTCCCCAGAAAGTGAGATTGGAAACCAAGTAAAAAGGTTGCTAATTGTAGTTAATTCGTGTACTTTCTCTTGTACACCTTTAAATTTATATATGTTGATGTTTCTTTCTAGTTATACAAAATAGATATTAATAATTAGAATTGAGTACATTGCAATTCCTAAATAAGTCGTATTGGCTTGGGATTCTTTGCACGTTGATCTTGTTGATGGCAAGAGTCATCGTTTTGCTGCACTATCGATAGATTTGATCGGGTTCTAAATAACATGACCCACTATAATCTGATTGGCTATATGTGATACATCGACTGAGCTCACGATGTTAACGTTAAAATTTCTAAAGAAATAAAAGAATGGGGATACATATTGAAAAATCAATTTTTTAAAAGTAATTCATATGCATATCATAAGCATGCATCATATGCATGATGTTTGCTTCCTGAGCGTTAGTTCATCCCATGTTATCCCTTTCCATTTTCAGATGATGGAGACAAGATGATTCAGAATGACGACTTGTAGTGAGACGGACTTAATAGTATCACATTTAAATATTGACTTGATTTTGAAAGCAAATTTGACATGTAATCTAATCATCTTATATTTTATTAAGCACGAATTATTTTAAAATAACAAGTCATTGATATTTATTACGTCAAAGAAAAATTTAATCATTTTCGGCATTTATGATTTTAAGATTATTAAAGAATAATACTTCTTCCAGATTTAGGGTTGTTACAATATGGTGCAATCAGTTGATAAAAATAATGTTTTTGTTGAAAGACAATTGTACCCCTTAGTCTGTGCCGTCACTCTCTCGCCATTTCCTAGTGAGGGTTGGAGAAAAACAAGTGGACGAAATGAGCGGAGAGTGATGGATGGGGATCGTTAAATCGTGAAGTAGACGTTGCATTTGTAGATGCCGAGACAAAGGCTAGTGTAGAATTTAATGGGAAATGGGCCATACCGTGGAAAACCATTCTCTAAAGGCTCCATTTTCTTCTTTCAGAAAATCTCTTCAAATTTCTTCCGATTAGTAATAATTATTGCCATTTATTTGTTTGTCCTCCCCTGATTCCGTCTCTAAAAATGGGGGTCATTTTGTATCTCCTCTCTCGCATTCTTTCTCTTTTTACCTTGTATTTATTAATTTTATCTTCCAATTTTAATTTCTTTTTATCTATGTCCTCCATGAAAGGATTCTTTTTTTTTTCCCCCTTTAGGCTAAGAAGATCTCTTTGAAGAGAAAATTTTGAAAATTTTCATCAATACACACGTCTAATTCGATAAGGAATTCAAAAAATATCTTAATGAGCAGAAGATCGACACAATTATAGACTACAGAATTCAATAAAGCTCCTTATACAATGTTGGGTTACAACATTGAGTTACACTCTCTCACAAGGGAGATGAGACCTACTATTATTTTAATCGCGGGGCTCACCTCCCTTGTGAGAGGTTGTAACCCAATGTTGTAACTCATGTGTTGTACATGTAACATTGTTCTACAGAATTTGATGGACCGGCTAGTATGATAGTACGTTTCTAGAGAGGCCATTCTTGCACCTACAGTCCCCAAACTATATTTTTCTTTGGCCGTCAAGTCTCCAAATTTTGATTTTTGGTGCATCTAGGTCGGTCCTTTCGGAGTAATGTATCAAAAAGTATGTTGCGAGCCACTCCATCACTACCAACAGTCAACCCATCAAAACAAGAAAATCACATATAGATGTTATTAGTGTGTAAATTTTTTGTTTTCTGGATCCATAATTTTCAAATCTATATGCCGATGGAGGTAGGAAACCTAATCTGCAACCAAAGTGTGAGCAACCCTGAACTTGAGTGGTGGCGATGTTAGCAATGCAGACTGATGATGATGGTGCAAATCGAGTTTCATGGCGATGGGTTAATTTTTGCCGCGACTTGGCTTATTATTTTAGATTTTGTGGCAAAACCAGGGACGGATAGAGGGGGGGACTGGGCCAGGCTCCAGTCCCCAGCCCACTGAATATTTTATGGTAGAAAAAAAAAACTTATGTAACGAATTAACCCGGTTTGTAATCCGTTTCTGGGCGAGACGATGACGATGGTGGCATAGGTAGGGAGAGTGGAGGAGGAGGAAGGGTTGTATCAGGTTAGGAAATACTTTTCGATACCTGATTTTTTGAGTATTGAAAAATAAATAAAAACAGGGTTGGCCCTAATTTCCACAAAGAAGTTGCAGTCTTATGGGAATGGGATGCCTTAGACAGCTGTAGTTAAAATTTTGATTGTTTCTTGCCATAGTGCCAAACCCGCGAAAAGGCCGGGCCAAAACCCGATGCCTGACATTTTCACTTCGACGTCACAATATTTAGCGACACATACGGAAAATCATACATTTCAGAGGAAACATCATCAACGGCACCCAAATCCATGATAGCAAATTAAAACTAACAAGCAGTACAAATTAGGGTTAAAACAAATAGAAAGCAACCGCAAAATCATCAGAAGGTGAACAATTTGCAGGCTAATATAGAGAAAGGCATATGTTTACAAATTCAGTGGTGGTTGGGATTTGACTTTGATGCAATCTGGTAAAGGAGGTAACCGGAGCACAGCTTCCTCCGTCACAATCGGGTCCGACCTCAAAATCTACGAATCAATACTCAATATTATATAAACAAATACACACACACCCAATAGAGAGAGAGAGAGAGAGATCTTACTGGATCTTGGAGGAGTGGTTTGGTGTCATCTTTAGCTGGTCTGAAGAGGGGTTTCTTGTGTTCTGTCTTCATTTCGGATTCTTCATTGTTAACCTCTGATGACTTCATTTTCGATTCTTTTTACAATCTCTGCCTGTCCGATCGCCGCCTTCCCTGTTATTCTTCAAGTTTTCCAAAATTGAAATATAAAGCAAAGACGCGATTCTCGCTAGTCACTTTAAAAGGGGATATGGACAATAAATTGGGATACTTGAAACGTTATGACACTCATGAAATATATTATTGAAATGAATTATTGACTTTAATTTAAATTTTAATAGGTATCAACCAAAAAGTTAATCAAACATGCCCTAACCAGGTGGAATTAAATATTAATGAAATTTCATAGTACCAAGAGTGCAAGCCAGGCTCCTTGATTTTAATTCAAATCAATAACCGTGAACACTGTAAAAATCAGTTGTACCGACCGACATCATAGTATCAAAATGAACTTTAGAAATGTAGAATGTAGAAAAAAAAGTCGCGCTCCTTCCTCATATGTTTTCAACAATCTCATCTTAGAGTTTAAATTTTCAAGGGTGTGTTTGATTGCATTTATTTTCTATGAAAAAAGTAAATTTTCCATCCAAATTCCTTCTTTGTAGTATTTGATTGCTATTTTTTTCTATTGAAAATATTTTTCAACTTTTAAAAATATGCTTAGCCTCCGTTTGGTAACCATTTTTCTCACATTTTTTGTGTTTTTTTCCAACCATGGACCCCACTTGATGTGAAAGAAAAAATATATTATTTGAAGAAAGAATGGAGCCCAAATGGAGCTTTAATTTTCCTTGTATTTAAGGAAAATATTTTCTTTTTGGAAAGTAGGTTTTTGTTTTTCTCAAAATAAGATTTTTTTTTTTTAAAGATATTTTTCATACCAATCAAACATACTCCAAGAGAAGATACTTTTATTTATTTAAATATAATCTTTTAACAAACCTCTTCAATGCACGTCAATGAGACTTGGAACACAATGAACCACCTCATGGAAAGAGAACACGTTTATTTATTGAGTCATGCTTGATGTACACTGTTTGGTGTACATCATGCATGACATTCCTCTTACAAAGGTGGGGGGCCCGCAATTTAAAAAATCATGGACCTCACACTCTTTTGTGAAAGGAGTGTTAAAGTTAATGTACACAAAAGTGTACAAATTGATTTTCCCTTATTTATTTATATTTTTGATAAATTATGGATTTTCCCTTGTTTATTTATATTTTTGATAAATTACTTGATCAAGCACAAAAACCACAAAATGTCTGCCTGTGTTGCAAGACAACACAACAAGGTGTCCACGTGGCAGTCTGAGATCCTAAAATGAAATGAAACTGCTAAGCCAGAAAGTAGAACAGTAATAATTGTAGGAGTCATGGATTCATGAAAGCAACAAAATTGTAAAAACTACGCACCAAGCTGGATTCACTCGCATCCAAAATGGCCATGGAATAGGCCTGAATGAGCAAATCATAACCAAATTCTATCACATAAACACGACACTAATCACTGTACACAATAGTTGTAACACGCCTGAAGATTCAAGAAGGAACAGAAGACGTGTAACAGAACGAAAAGATAAAAAACACTGCACACAAGTTCCAGCTTGAACAGATCCATTTAAACTTGACCATGGAATAATACTTGCGTCTTGCAGTAACTATACAAAATGTACAATCTCTTATCTAAGATTTGAAGCGGGAGAATTAACACAGAGCAATGGATGGTGGCAAGGTGTTTGGTGAGCTGTCACAGTCTGCAAGTACATGTTGAGTTCTCAGCACCGTTGCATCTTAATTATAATCTGAAGAGAGACACTCAAGGATCAAACAACAAAAACACAACTACAATTTTTTAGAAAAATAAAATGATTCTTCATAAAGTTTCTAAGAAACTATACTAGAAACACCTCTGAAATAAGAATCAACAAATTAATAATCATTGTCTAATTGGCATTTCATGTTACACATACAAATACAATGGTACAGAAATAAACAATAACTACAAGTTTCGGGAACTTCAATCCCACAAGAATGGAATGATACAACCACTGTAATAACTTTGATGGTTTGAGCTCATGTCCAATTGGAATGGAATGGCTCAAACTGAAGTTACTTTGACAGATTGAGCTCATGTGTCCATTCATGCTGCAGAAATCAGCTTCCTTCCATAATTTACCTTTAAGTCAATAATATTTATTCTGTTTGTTATCTCTTTTAAGTTGAACCTTCAATTTTTTACCACCTAACTGGTAGCCATTCATCATATTTATTGCATTCTGTGCAGCTGACGGGGAATCGTAGCTGACGAAACCTGCGGATATAATCAGATCAGAACAGAGTATAAACATAAGCTATATGGTAATGTAAAGAGTCCACATACCAAAACATTTGCTGACACCAGTTGCTTTGTCAACGAAAACCTTAGCACTCAAGATCCTACCAAATCGCTGGAAGGCATTTGCAAGCTCTTCGTCACCAAATTCTTGAGGAATATGGTAAATAAATAAATTAGCTCCAGGTGGACCTGCTTTCCAAAAAATTGTTCACAAGTAAGATTGTGCACTTACGTCTGAGCACGTGCTTCTACACACACACATTGTACACATTTTTATTCACGCAGAGATATGTTTTGTACGTATATTTACAAAAAAAATAGCTGAACTACAGAAATATACTCGATTAAGATTTCCAACAACCTTCAACCTGACCACCAGAACTTGTATTGACACTAGAAGATGCTGCAGATTGACTGTTTGTTGCAGGAGATATAGAACCAGCAGAACCTGAAAAAGGCCTGTTACTTGTGATTCCTCCAGGATATGGCATGGGATATTGAATCCCCGGCAAAGCTTGGAAAGGAGATCCCAAAAAACTTGTAGGTGACACAGCATTGCCCTGGTTTACAGGTGGAATTAGATTGTTGAAGGCATGCTGATTCTGCACTGTTGGAAGGCGATACTGCAAGAGCCCATAAGCCCCCGAAGTCTACAAAGGCGAGCAGAAATTGATATAAATGTACCTTCAGAATCAACTGCCAGAATTAAAATGAGAGAGAAGAATCCAGAAATAAAACAAAATACACAGCATGAAGTTAGAATTCCAACATAAAATACACACATGGCAATATTCAAGGCTCTTTCTGATATATACAAGTCAACAAACCTGATACCCATATCCGTTATACGGGGGCATATAACCCATAGGCAAAGCACCATATAAAGATGTACGCTGTCTTGAGTCAGAATTTGGCACACCAGACACTTGTGATAGAGCTTTCTGAGCCTTTCGAGCTTGCCTTTCCTTTTCTGTATCTGCCCACTTGATCACCAAAGGGACAGTTGAACCCTATTAAAGAAGTTAAAGGATTTTAGCATTGCTGAATCTACCAGCAGCCAATAATGCAAAATGGTTTCGACACTATAGTCTGAACTACCATATATTGAGTACAGTACCCAGAAAATACTAAGCCGAGCTTATAGGCCATGTCGCATGAAAACTAGAAACAAAATATAGACTATCGGGATCAAATGATGACCAAGAAAAATCTAATTGCCTCAAAATATCCTTACATAGAAGAGTATGCATCCATTACTAGTACAGAATTCAAAAGGCACATAAACTAATCACAGAATAAAAACATCCCTAAATGATTATACTGTGTAATCACTATTGATGATATCAAGAGCAAATACTATCAAGCAACCGTCAAAGACAATTCCATAGCATTATGCACAAAACTGTTCTCAGATAAGAGAGTCGTAAAAACAATTGCCCGGCTTTAATATATACATGATTAGCATAGTGTCAGAGAAATTTCAAAAAATTCACTATAGGATTTCATACACAAGGATCAAACAAACTGGTGAATTAACACACACCTCCATCTTATGCTTCCCATTTAGGGATTCAATGGCAGCAAGTGCTTGTTCTTTTGTTTCAAACTTCAGAAAAGCACAACCTACAACAGTTGCTGTTAGATTATAACTTACTGGTAATATGAAAACTATGTCATGTTGCTCCTGTGTTACACAAATATCAAGCCATATAGAAAGAGGGG